TCTGCTGCAATTGTCATTCCCGTAGAAGTGGGGTAACAAATGAATCTAACTAACGAAGGTAAAAACCCATATAAGTAAACGTCTGGATGCAGCAATACCCTGGTTAGTGGATGGCAGCGAACAATTGTATCATATAACTAGTTACCATATGATGAATAATTAGATACCAGACACCACGTTTCAGAATGACTGGGATCTAGAGCAAACGAAATAAATTTGTTATCAAAGCGATATCAGTAGAAAATGTGGGTCAGTCTTAATTTAGTCTTAAATGCCTTCCGCATTGATTGTTACACATTTATTGTTACACGATTATTCGTTACGTTTGCTGTTGAATTGGCAATTCTTCAATTCTGCGCATGCGAGGAAATGAAATGAAATGAAATCTGGGAAACACAAAAGCATGCACCACGAAAACGTTGTTCGATTCGGCTATTTAAGTGATATTTCTACAAAAATTCAGGCGGAATTGACTTTGAAGCACGAAGTTTCTAATGTTTTTCAGCAAGTAAAAGAAAAATACTTGCTCGCTCCTGTTCATACACACACATATCATACACGTTAGCTAGAGGTGGGGAACACCTCAGCTACTGTGCCGCAATACACAGAAAAAGGGGAGAAAAAAGAATTCAACTGGGGCAAGCCGGCTGAGCTACCGGTAACGGATGGGCATCGTTCCGGTAAGCTACCAGCCGGCTACTATGCAGCAAAAAAATTACTATGCAAAATTATATAAGGTTAAATAATGAGATCGTGGTTGGAGGGGGAGGCTAAGAGGGATGGGGTGGGACAAAGAAACTCACAGCACGAACGCCACTGAGGTCGGCTCCTAGCCATATCAGCAAGTGTGTCCAACCAAACGTGTTCATCGTCTTTCGGACCCCAACCAGGGAGCCGAGACGCTCCAACCGAGGCCAGCTCAGAAGTGAGTGTCTTCATTCATTTCGACCAAGTCATCGCTTGGCCACCCCTCCTCTTCTTCCATCCACACCCCCGGCCCACAAACAACGCACGTCGCGTGAATCGGTGGGCTGGCATGCGTAACACGTGGCCGAGCCATCGGAGCCTGGTGCGTGAAATGACGGTGCTGAGCGGTTCAGTTCCTTTTCCTGTGCCATAAACGAGGCGTCGGACACGTTCGTTGCTCACGCGGTGATCCCACCAGATGTGAGCTAAATTGCGAAAGCACCGGTGGTCGAATGTGACTAGCCTCTTCAGGTCCGCTGCTTTAAGCGGCCAGGTTTCACAACCGTGCAGTAGGGTCGAACGTACCGCTGCATTGTACACTCTACCCTTCAGGGCAAGAGTGATGTCGCGCCGGCGCCATAAGTGGCGGAGATTAGCAAAAGCGCCCCGAGTTTTTGCTATACGGTTCGTGATCTCATCTTCAATCACACGGGCGCTGATACAACTTCCCAGGTAGTTAAATTTTTGAACGACTTCTAGCTGATGCCCACCAAGGGTCAGCGTAGGAGGCGGTCCAGCCCAATCTTGGAGGAACGCTTTGCACTTCAAAGGTGCGAAGCAAAGCCCGAAGTGACGGACAGCTAGTGCTAATCTGTCCAGTGCAGCTTGGCACATTTGTGAGCTGTCACAGATTAAATCAATATCATCAGCATACTCCAAATCAAGGAGTCGTTCTCCTGGGAGTAGCTCCACACATACTAAGTCGTGTCCTGTGAACGCGATTTCCATGACTTCAGCAACAGCGAACTTGAAGAGAAAAGGTGACAGCTGGCATCCTTGTCTCACACCGCTGGAGATATTAAAGGGCGACGACAACTTGCCATAAACCCTCACTCTGCCCGAGCTACGAGCATATAATGCTCGGATAATATTCACATATTTCTCGGGCACACCTCTCCTGAGTAGATAGTCCCAAAGTGCATGTCTATCCACCGAATCGAGGGCTCCTTTGATATCGAGGAACACGACGACGGTGGGCCGCCAATATATGTGACGGTGCTCCAACAACTGACGCAAGGTGAAGATGTGGTGAATGCAGCCACGACCTCGACGAAATCCAGCTTGCTCTTCACGAATCTGGCTTTCACGAGTGCCAGTCTGTCTGTGAAGGACGACAGAGGCAAGCAATTTGGAGGCGATGGAGATCAGACTGATTCCTCTATGGCTGCCGCATTCCGATCGTGAGCCTTCTTTGAAAATTGGGACTATGACGGAGCGGCCCCAATCGGTTGGGACAGTTTCCTGCCCCCACAGTTTGACTAGTAACTCGTGTAAATCATCCATAAGCGCAGGTCCCCCGAATTTGAAGAGGGCTGGAGGAAGGTCATCTGGTCCCGCGGCTTTATTTAACTTCAACAGTCCGATCTCAAGTTCGACTTCTGAGCGAGAAGGTGGATCCAAAGGGACAGCCCACGGAGCGGGGCGATCAGTGGCCGGCGAGAAATCTAACAATTCCGATCGATTAAATTGCCTTTTAAAGTGCTCAGCGCAACGCTCTAAGCGTTTTGATAAGTTGTGGATAGTCTGTCCACTCTCGTCACGTATAATTTCACTAACACCAGGTCTCCTGCTGCCCGTTTCCCGTATCAGACGGAATAACTTACGATGGTTTCCAAGGGCAGCGGCCATTTCCATCTCTGTTGCACGATTAGACCACCAGGATTCGCGGTCTCGCTTCAGGTTAGCACGGAGTTTTGCCCGGAGCTCATTGCCAGTTTCATTGTGTTCGCTTCCAGCCGGAATATGCCGGCGAGCATCGATAAGTTCGAGACTGTGAAGAGACCCAATATCCATGTTGGCGGTTAGACACACCACATGAAGGTTCTCCTGCTGCTAGTAAGGTCTGGTGAATATGAGACCAGTGAGCTTCAAGTGCATCAAGTGAGCTTTTATCCAACTCGCATAACAACGTACTGTGATAGGCATTCCGAACAGCTGGCCTCGCCAGTTGGCTGGTGTCAATGCGCTCACAACGTCGTTGTGGGCGTCCACCAAAACGCATCCGAATGTCAGTACATACAAGTGCATGGTTGGTGTCCACACCTGTGCTCCAAATCGAGCGACAATTCTGGACGCAGCCTCTCCAGCGGTAACTGATAGCAATGTGATCGATTTGCGTCCAAGGCTGGTTCGAAGCTGGTGGGCGCCAAGTCACCCTCCGGCGGGTGCTGTGTCTGAAATCAGTGCTCGCAAGAAATAAGCGAGCATCCTCACACAAATGAAGTAACCGCTCACTGTTATCATTACGGAAACGTATACCATGTTGGCCGCCCAGATGCAGCTCATCTGTGGATAATTTTCCGACTTGAGCGTTCAGATCCCCAGCCAACACTACAGTGTCCGAGTTTCTTCTGTGGCTAAGAGGCTCGTTCAGTTGACGATAGAAGTCGTCTTTTACCGAGTCATCGCTATAGTTTGTCGGTGCATAGGCAGCGATAACGACTAGACACCTGTTAGTCCCACGTGACTTCGAAGCTTTGAACGAGCCAGCCAATCGGACCGCACACATCCGGCTACTGATTGGAGTCCAATCAACCAGAGTAGCTTCAGTCCGGAGACTCAGGGCAATACCAACACCGCCTTGGCGGGTGCTCGAAGCTGCATCATCACCGGATAGGCGCAATGAGAAAGTGCTGGTGGTGTCAGCAGAAGGGGATCGCAGAGTGATCACAGAGCTCGAGTCTTGCAGGCGAGTCTCCGATAAGCAGCAGATATCGATCGATAGGGTCTCTAATTTTCGAGCGAGTACTGCCTGTTGACCGATCTGAAGCAATGTGCGAACATTGAGGCATGCCAATCTGAAGGAGGATCGAGGGCTCCAAATGGAAGCCGATAAAGTGGAATGGGCCGCTTGCTTGGACATGGACCTATTGATAGGGCAGGAATGACGCTCCGCGTTCACATGTGAGTTGAAACTAAAAGGCAAGCGACTAATGAAACAACGTGTGAGAGGGCCGAGAATTGGGGGGTTGAAAACAGGTGGGATAAAAGTGAAGCTGGAACGGGACGATAAGGGTGAAAAAGCGCAAGAGGGGTAATAAGAAGACGAGAAGGCTTGAGCAGTAGCATCCAAATCCCTATCCACCCTGCCCGATGCAGCAGATAGGGCACCGTTGATTATCCTCTGTGGTGGCCAGAGCATAAGAAATTTGTTTGAAGTGTGATTCATTGTATTGCGTGGGCAGGATACTATCAGGTTGCCCAGGCCTAGACAGGAGAACGATTAGGGTTCTCGCTGGCTCCTGTAGTTTTCCCCGAATGAACTATACATGTATGTTTACGAATACTAAGTTAAGGTCCAAACAATCAGTGAGAAACACTTTTGTAATACACCACAAACATAAAGAAGTGGGTCAGCAGAATTCCGCACTGGGTCTGGAGGAGACCAAATTCTTAAATTTGACACCAGAACACTTGGAGTTTCAGTTGACAGAGAGTGATACAAGGAGGTTTTGGAATGCACATTTACTAACTGTAGGAAAGTATGTTGTTTTTGATATGAGAAGAAGAGCAAGTATAAAGAAATCACTTCCAAATTACTTGATTGTTAATCGACCAATTTATACCTGTGGAATTTACGAAATTATATAAGTTCGCAACCTTTTCAAGCATCGGGAGTATGCAACCATAAGTCTGAATTCTTTACTTGTTCGCGATATAATGTTCGTAGAGAAGTGGGCTCACACACATCACGCTGACACCTTTCCATCAAATCACTATCGATGCATGCAAATGATGTGTCGTTCCCGCCCTTCCGGATAATCAATCATCTAGGTATAGGTATAACTAGAAACGGAAATTGGAAGTATTAGTTAAAACGAAGTAGGCTTAATCGTATTTCAAAAGCAAAATTAGTTGAAAATAGCAATGCTGAGCACAATAGTATAAGAGCAGGTAGCATGGACTTCCTCAGCCTATTGGACTAATCCTTTCTTTTTGCCTGAAATTCTGCGCTTCGTTTTGAATAATATCATTACATCAGACATTATCTCTCTGACATTCATACCATTCTGTTAACTCTAAATTTTGCCCAGGTACTGTGCTACATAAAAAGGGCTTTACAATAACCAGCCTTACCAGCCTTGTGATCTTCACTCCTGGAGTGGTGTTCGTCTATTTCTTACCCGAAACGATGACAAAGTTAAGGCAACAGCACGATGCCCCAAAACAGGATGAACATAACAGGTTGACGATAAGAGACACAACGCCTGAACAGCTTGCTCATTGGAACACAATGCAGATGTTTCGGAATTCCACTACCAACTTGAAGAACTGGTTCCAAGAGACGAAAACAGTAAGTTGCATAAAGTGCTAAAGTGTATTCACCACAATATCCCGGAATAAGATGAAACAAACCCTACACTTCGGTTTAATCCGAGTAAATGTATCTAAAATCTGTTGTTTCCACTTAGTTAAAGCATATTTTCGCTCGTTATTGCTTTGGACATGCACTAAAGATAACCATAATTACGTGCGAGGTCGTAACCTGGTCAGCGTGTGCCTGCTAGCCGTGCAATCCTGTGTTCTGTGTTAAACTTGACTTAACCCCTCACATTCTTGTGCCACCTCTTCGAAAGTAGGTTCAATCGATTCGGCTCCCCGAGCTCTATCCAACGGGATCTAACTATCCGAAATAAGTCTAAATACACGCTTGTACACGTGGAACGGAATTCAGGTACTTGTTGCGACGGAAACCAGCAGGAACTGATATGGACAACAATTATTCAGAAGTGAGTACGTAGCCGGACCCAAGGTGTATTGTAAAGAGCTGCAATGAAGTAGGAGCAAATTTGTAAGAGCACACTACAAGGTAGCTTGCGAATCACAGAAACTTCAAAGTGACCCAGACGAGCCGTCAGTAAAACAAATGGACCATCGAAGGATACAAACAAGAATAACATCCAGTGTCATAAAATACTGAAAGTGCAAGTGTTTCCTGTTCACTACTGGGGTCTCTACCTTCCATGGAGCTGTCAGGTGGGGAGACAAAGTGAGGATATGAAAGTAAAGTAGTAGTTGCAGTCGGCGTACGCGGACAGAGAAAGCGCGCGTGGAGTTCGACTGGTCTCGGCCTCTCTGTTATTTCTTATTAATTATTTAGATGTGTACTGGAGTGCATCATCGATGGGCAGTCGGGGCGGGCTGGTCGGACTGCAGAAATCTGGCTAGTTAAGAAAAGGGCCGACAGGACATTTCCTCCGCTGCAGCCCAACGGTACGCTTGGGAGATATCACTCCCCCATCGCACTCGGGGTCCACGGTCGTAAGGATCCTTGTCCCACAAAGAATCCCGGACGTCTTTTTTGGGGGCCAGACCAGTCGTTGTCGCACCGGTAGTGAGGAGTCGCTTGGAGCCAGGATTATGGGGCCGGAGGCTTCCGGCAGGTTGGCCAGGGGATTTCGCGATTACTCAGGGGACTTGAGTTCTGGAATGTAAAACTCGGGGAGGGAGGGACATGGTCGTCATAGGCGGCATGATGCCAGGTGGATAACGAGGCAAGTATACGAAACAAAACGGTGTAGCTTTTTTGTGTTTTTGGTGTAAAAAGTTTTCAACTTTTTTCGTTTTGTAAAACCTTTATAAATGAAACACACGCTTACCAAGAAAGGTGGAAAGTATGCATGTCAAGGAACGTAGCAAACGGTAACAAAATCTAAGAAGCGGATTGGACGTTTGACCTGTCTACCGTGCCGGTTACTCGCTTGCCGTTGGGGCTGGGTTGGCGGATGGTCAATGGTAACAAAGGGGTCTAGGGTGTCTGGTGTGGAAGATGCAGCTACTGGTGAAATTACCTTTGCAGCTGTACCAGGTAAACTTGGGGGCGGATCTTTGAATAATGCCACCTTAAGTCGCTCGATGGACGCCGTTTTTCCGTGACCATTCTGGTCTGAGGTAAAATGCTTAGGAGTTCCTTGACGAACTCTGTAGGGTCCGGTGTAGGGAGGCTGAAGGAAACGACGCACTGCGTCTGTGTGGACGAAAACGTGAGTGCAGGTAGTGAATCCACTGTGTATTTTCACATCTCTGCCCTGCTGACGAGGAGAGCTCGGGCGCAGCGAACGTATGCGCTGAGAAAGGGAGGTTGCGAAGTTTGTTGGTGGCATACACGATGGTGAATGTGGCGAAATGAACTCTCTTGGCAGCTTAAGTGTCGTGCCGTAGACCAGCTCTGCTGGTACGTAATGCTGGTCAGCTTTGATGCAGCTGCGGATACCTAGAAGTAGTAACGGAATGTTTACGCTCCAATCAGGGTCAGATCTAGCGCAAAGAGGTGATTTAAGCTATCGACGAAAGCATTCGACTAGGCCATTCTCCACAGATTGATAAGCCGTCGTGTGGATACAGCGGCAGCCTAAGAAGTTGCGGAACGCATCGCTTTGAGAAGATTCGAAAGGCGCTCCGCGGTCGGTAGTGATGTAGATGAGCATCCGTAGTGGGACACCTAACGGTCCAAAAATGCACCAATGACTATTGCAGCTGTGCAGTCTGATACAGGAGTGGATTCTGGCCATCTAGTGAAGCAGTCGACAGATGTCAATATGTATACGGCTTCCCAAGAAGGAGGTGTACGTGTGACAACCGCGAATCCGGCACAGGGAATGAGCCGAGAGGACTTCGGGTGGATCGATGTACCTTGGAACGCTGGCAGTGGAGACAGCCCCGAGCCCAGTTACGAACATCTTTATTTACGCATGGCCAGACTAAACGCTCGGTGACCAGTTTTAAAGATGCCCGAATATCAGGATGCGACAGTGAGTAAGGGTGTCGTAGAATGTGTGTGTGTGAAACAGCCGGGCACGATGGGTCTTGGACAATCTGTTGAAGTGTCATAAAGAATAGTTCCGTCCGTAGTTTGCAGAGGAACTGGTTGCACTTGCAGTGCAATGGACTGTATGGTGCGTTGGAGTTCTTCGTCTTGAGCCTAAGTCGATGCCATGGCGGCGAGGTGGGCAGTAGGCAGAGAATGAAGAGTCAGGCTGACGCCAGAGAGCGCGTCGGCGACGGGGTTGACGACACCCGAGACATGACGTATGTCAGCAGTGAACTGCGTGACAAAGTCTAGGTGTCTTGTTTCCCGTTGTGAATGTTTGTCAGAAGATGAGATGAAGGCGAAAATCGGTGGCTTGTGATCAGTGTAGACCGTGAAAGACCGACCTTCTAATGTCTGTCGGAAGTGACGAATAGCTAGATAGAGGGTGAACAGTTCTCTAACGAACGTGCTGTAGCGGAATTCCGCTGGCTGCAAGCGTTTGGAGAAGAAATCGAGCGGCTGCCTCTGCCTATCAACGTGTTGTTAAAGAACGACTCCTACCGCAACGTCTGAAACGTCAGTTGTCAGAGAAAGAGGAGCAAACGATTTTCCATGAGCGAGGAGAGCTATGTTGGAGATGGGATCCTTGAGTTCGGTGAAATGCGTGTGTACTGTGTCAGGGAAAGCAAACCTACATTCGTTTCCTCTAAGAATGTCAGTCAGCGACTGCATGAGTTGAGCGCAGCGAGAGATAAAGTGTCGGTGGTTGTTGACCGAACAGTAAAATCGAAGTAGGTTCTTAAATGATGGCGGGCATGGGAAGTCTTTGATGGATTGGACTTCGTCCGCTAGGACCTCGATGCTAGATGATGAGACGAGGTGGTCTAGCAATTCTACCGCGGACTTGCTTACTTCGCACTTAGTCCGACTGGTGGTGACGTCGTGCTGGGTCATCCGTTGGAAGAGGGACTGCAGATGAGTTAGATGCACTTCGTCAGACGAACTGGCCACTATATTGTCATCGAGGTAAAAGTAGGCGAAATCTAATCCTCGGCTGAAATCGTGGATGAAGCGCTAAATGGTCTGCGTGGCGATGCACACTCCAACAAACATTCGCAAGAATTCGAACAAGCCGAAGGGAGTGATGACGGCTGCTTTAGTAATGTCAGCTTCCTCGACAGGTATCTGATGATAAGCACGAACAAGATCGACCTTGCTAAAGACGGCCTTACCTGTATTACATGCAGTAAAGTCCTTTATGTGTGGGATAAAGTATCTATAGGGCATTGTAAGCTTATTTGGTGCCCGATAGTCATCGGAAGACGCCAGTCTCCAGATTTCGTTAAGACCATCTGAAGTGGAGAAGACCAAGGGCTATCCGAAGGGTAGATTTCTCCATGTTCGAGCATGTGTTCAAACTCCGCGCTAGCTAGCTTTAGTTTCTCCGGCGAAAGTCGGTGCGGGCGTTAGGAGACAGGTGGGCAGTTGATATAGATATGGTGCGGGATTTGGTATTTAATATATAACAAACTCTTCTCGAGAGTCTGCAACCCATCCAAAAAACGATTAGTCGCTGACCCTTTATTGGTCGGCGTAAACGCACTTGCTTCATCCATCCAATTTAACACACTTTTGGTCTTCGAGAAGCTCTCATGCATGTACACAAATGCCCAAGGTATACTCAGCAAATTAGCTGAACAGAAACTTCGACACGCGTCTGCAGCTTGGGACCTTATCGCTGTCACCGAAACGTGGTTGCGCTGCGAGAAAACGGATGCTGAAATCGAGCTAACGGACATGTCCGTTGTCCGTAAGAATCGAGCCAGCATAAGTGGTTGGGTAGCCCTCTACTTCCGTAAAAACTGCAATGTGAACCCATAAACGTTTCGGAAACCGATGTACCTGACGCCATTTGGTGTACTTTCCGGCTGAGAGGGAACGATCTTGGCTCATTTGTTGTTGTTTACTGCCCAACATCGTCTGCTCCTGAGATGAACTGCAACTTGGTGGCTGCGATGAGGCAAGTGCTAAACAGGAAGTACAGTCACATTCTAGTCACCGGCGAATTCAACTTACATGCTCTAGAATCCCAGCCCACACCAGGAGAGCAATTCAAAGCAGATCTGCAAGATCTGGTTTCAGATGTCCCGCTTTATGGCCACGTCACTACGCCCATCAGATTCAGCGGAACTAACAGGCCATTCATATTGGACCGAATATTCACCAATGAAGAACTGATGGTCGAGAGAGTAATAACCGATACTCCTCTGGGCCACAGCGATCATGCAACACTAGTGTTTCATTACATGTGCTACGCGGATTATCCTAAATAGCATGCCGAGGTATTTTATGTCGTAAACAATTATGACGATCTGTCCTAACTCATTGATGCAACAAGCTGGTCGTTCTCATCCGAATTGACCTCCGAAGTGGCCTGCAGAGAATTGGTCAACATATTTAACAAGCTCTTGGCAAGGACATGTGAAACCAAACTCTGCCGGTCTAAAAGGATGAAGTCTTAAGGAGCAGGACACTTAAGTGCA